GTGCACAGTAATCCGTGTCCGGTATATTTACGTCCTTTAAGATTGCGGTGTGGCCTTCCTGAGTGTCCCTCCAGCCTGGTAGTTCCCTCAACCTCAAGGCGGCACACCCCGCTGATTGCTTTCCAACAATTTCAATTGGTAAAATATCGAGGAGCACGCACATAGCCTCCGATGGAGTTGTGCGCAGGGCCCCACAGATGCAGAGCATCGCAGTTCTTTGCACCTTTTGGAGTGCTTCAGTTGTAGATTTCCTGTTGAGACTTGGCCACCATACCAAGACCCCATATAATAGAATCGGCCTAACAACTACCGTGTATAACCAATACATGATGCTAGGGGACAGCCCCCAGCTACGCCCAATCGCCCCCTTGCAGCTGTAGAGGGCTACCGTCGCTTTTTTAACACGCTCTTGTATATTTTGCGCCCAGTTAAGCTTTTTGTCCAGGACTACGCCTAGATATTTTGCAGACTCCCCTAGCTTCAGAATCTTATTGCCTATGGCAGGGAGCTGAAGTGAGGGGATTTTGTACTTCCTGGTAAAGAGCACCAGGTCCGTTTTTTCTGGGTTAACACCCAGACCTTTTTCCTTGGTCCATCTCTCGATTAACCTTAGTCTGTCCTGCATAATGTCACAAAGAGTTTGTGGAAATTTTCCACTCACAACCACCGCAAGGTCGTCAGCATACGCTATGACCTTGGAGCCTCCCCCCCCTTCCAGGGTCTGCAATAATTCATTAATCGCCATGACCCAAAGAAGGGGGGAGAGGACCCCACCCTGCGGGGTTCCCCTGCAAACGTATCTGTCCAGCGACACGCCCGCCAGTTCCGCCCGCACGACCCTGCCAACTAGCAGCTGTCGTATAAGCGACACCAGCCGTGAGTCGATGTCCAGACCAGTTAGAGCTGATGTGATTGCTTCAGGTGTGATGTTGTTGAAAGCACCCTCAATGTCTAAGAATGCTATCAAGGTGTATTCCTTTATCGCAAGGGATTTCTCAATATGCGACACGATTTCGTGTAGCGCTGTTTCGGTGGACTTCCCCTTCATATAGGCATGCTGCGAAGCCATAAGCTTGTCTGCAACCGATTCCCTAAGAAAGGATTCAATCAGTCGCTCCAATATCTTGAGCTGGAAAGATGATAGACTGATAGGTCTAAAATCCTTGGCGCGAGTATGGGATGTTTTTCCCGCTTTAGGAATGAAGACAACCTTTGACCTTTGCCAGGTCTCCGGAATGTAGTTGAGAGTGAGGACTCCCTTAAAAATAACATACAGCCATTTTGAGCTTAGCTCCATAGATTGCTGTAGCTGAATCGGTGTAACACCATCTGGACCCGCAGATTTGTAAGGCTTGAAGGACCCTATTGCCCACATCAGTTTTTCTTTGGTGATGAGGTCTACCGTAACCGGTTGACCTCTATTTCTTATTGGCCCGTTCAATGGCTGCTCGGTGGCGCCTGGAAAGTGCGTGCTCAGAAGATGGTCCAGGGATTCCTCCCCAGTTTCCGTCCACGCTCCGTCGGATCTTAGCAAGCATCCCGGGGCGATACGAGGTGAACTAGAGAGAACCTTCCTGAGCCTAGAACCTTCTGATACGGATTCCATACCACTGCAAAAGTTCCTCCATGAGGATCTCTTGCTCTTCCTTAGTAGTTTCTTGTAATCTTTCAAGTTTAACTTATAGATTTCCCATTGCGTATCGCCTCCCGAGGATTTTGCGAGATTGAAGGCTCTACGACAATTTTTGCGGGCCTCGTCAATCTCTGTACTCCACCAAGGTGGTTTCTTTTTGCCTCTCGGCTTTACCATGGGGCAGGCCTGATCCAGAGCCTTGCCACATGCCGCAGTAAAGCGATTTGCCAGCCTATCTAGGTCCCTAGAGTTTCCTGGAATTGCTAGTGTGGTTCTTGAGAGCCGTTTGTCAAGCTCTCTTCTGTACTTATGCCAGTCGGCTTTCCTTAGATTTCTTTTGGCAGGTACCTTGGACGGGACCCCGTCTAAGTCGAATTGGATGAAGCGATGATCAGAGAAGGAATGCTCATCAAGCACCCTCCAGTTCCTGATCATGACCTCCGCATCTTCTGAGACGAGGGTAACATCCAGGACCTCTCTTCTGCTCTTCGTTATGAAGGTAGGCTCGCTACCCCTATTACTTATAACTAAGTTAGATTTTAGTATGAATTCAAAGAGTGACTCACCCCGTTCATTGATGTCTCCACTTCCCCATGTGCTATGGTGTGCATTTGCATCACCTCCTAGAATCAGGGCCCCGTCCCAGCGCTCCACTAAATGTTCGACCGGTAGGGTTGGAACAGGCCTGTCATGTGCCAGATACATCGAGGCAAGCCTTATTTGTCGTCCGTTCGCCTCCAGACTGATGGTGGTGGTGTCCTCGTCACTGAACTGAGGAAGAAACAATATTTTTAGTTTGGTACTAACAAGGATGCAGGCCCTTGGTTTACCTATGGTAGCTCCACTTATCAAAGTGTGCTCTGCCGACTTCAGCCCGCATATTCCATGCCCTATCACCCAAGGCTCCTGGATGAGGGCGATGTCTGCTGCCCCCTTGGAGAGCTGGAGCAGCAGTGCAGCCGACGCTGCTTTGCTGTGGTGGAGATTAATCTGGAGGACGCGAACCATCTTGGCCGCACCTTCCCACCCCCTCCACCACTGTTGAGTTCGCCTCGTCGTCATCTGACATCAGCTCCTCTTCTGTGTATTGCCGGAAGATATGGTCGACTCCCAGAGAGGATGTAGATGAGGCGTATCCACCAGCCAGGTCATCCATCGGATTGGCCTGGTTGGATTCCTCGTCCACCTCATCCTCGCTGTTGTCTGCTTCCGGCTCAACTTCGTTGCCTCTTGCTGCGTTCACGTCGTTCGTGTACACCCTTATCTTTGCGGTGTCGAAACCGTAATTGATGACGCCCCCAGTCTTTTCGAGGAGTGGCAACGACTCCTTATTTAGCAAAAGGACCGCCTGACGAGTCGCCTTTGTGCTATGCTCTAGCCGCACCACCTTCCAATTGTGAGAGGGTAACTCGGGATTAAAGAGCCTTATAATCTCAAGCACTCTCTCTGGTTCGGTCGGTTTGGCCGGTATCCATGCCCTTGCTCTGGGCCTGGATGGGATGTCCTTGAAGTCCACAGCCCGTAGCATCGCTCCGGGGTAGACCTCTCCCAGCATGGCCATCGCCTTCTTGTACATGCCCGCCGACCTTTCATCGTCGCACGCGACGATCTTGACGTTACCTTGGAACCAACCTGCGTCCCGGCATATCGGAGGTGGTCCGGGGTGCTCCCGAAGCACGCTGACGCAGATGTTCGCCAATTCCGCTTTAACCCATTTCCAATGAGCTCTCAGTGCCAATTCGTCTTCCTGGTTCTCATCGAGCACACCCAGGAGGATCCGATTTTTGGCTACCTCAGCAAAGGTGGGGCCTTGCGTCCTGGCTCTTTTCGACTTGTTTTGCGCAACCTCCATCGATCTATTGCGCTTTTCCGCAGCTGGTGGCTCTCCGAGCACCGGCAGCTGATAGTCGGGCACTATCGTCATTGCCCACGCTATCTCCGACCGGATCTCTTCCACGTGACAGGGCAGCGCCCTGCTACATAGGTCCGGGGTTAATGCGGATCTCTTCAAGATCCTCATGGCAGCCTTCCTGTGCTTGGCAATGGCTGCGCTTGGTGGTGGCCTGTCATCAGGCCTTGTAAATGCCGTAGGAGTAGGGGGAGGCGGGGCCCGCGCATCAGCTCTGGCGCCCCCTGGGGCTGCAAGCTGCAAGCCAGGTTTGCCTTCACTGGTGCCGGGAAAATCCCGTTTCGGTTCCCCCACCCTCTTCCTTTCCGCTTTTGTGGATACGCCTGACCCCGGCATCGCCAGAGGCTTACGTACCCCACTAGTGCTGGCCACGTCGTGGCTAGTAGAGGGACCCTGCATCGCATGGGCCCCATGGTGTCTGGGCAACTGCCCTTCCGACTTTTTATGAGTGCCGGTCTCAATTTCCGTTGTTGTTGATTTTGGTTTGTTCTTTAATTCGCTCATATTCCCACGAGTTGCGGAGAAAGGGTTCGTCGGCCCCGGGCAGAGATCCGCAGTACCCAGGGTAAGGCCATCGAATGCAACCGGGTGCGGCCTGGTTCCCAGAGGGCTCCGTTAGCGACTGGGCTATTTAGGGGCTCCCAGCCAGGCTGATCCTCAGTACGGTACGCGTAACGCCTTGATCCAGCCCCTACCTCCAGACCACGATCAAAGACCATTTCCGTATGGCATAGCGATGAAAACGCATAAGCACACAGCACTGATCCCTGATCTTAGCTGGACACCCTCTCGACATCGCACGGGATTGCTCTGTAGTGCCCATTTCCAGCCGGCACTCTCGCGGAGGGTTCAGTCCGAGGATTTTCGCCGACCCGATGGTATAGTTACGGCGGTGAGTTTTATTTTTCTGTTGTAAAATAAAACTCACCTAGAAAAATTTATTCTTCGTTCGAAAATAATTGTTATTTCGTAAGATATACTAAAAAATCTCTAGTTTTCAAGCCAAATTTTCAAATCAAATTTTCCAATTGAACCCAGAATTGCATGAAATGATACCGCACAAAGTTGTATTTTTCGTAAATATTCGAAAATTCTTAAGGATAGTTCACAGCATGAATTTTGAGTAATGCCCGTCCAGTATGCAGTGACTTACCTGAATCCTTTACATACATACGTTCATAACTGCAAAATGCGGACGATTACTCCGGCACACAAAAAAGTGGTCTGTGCATTTCAGGGGTCAAAACATTCAAATTAAAAATAAAAACAGTTTTGTTCCCACGATATTAAAATAAAAATAGTTTATTCAAATTAATGTTATTTCATAACTGAGACATATTTGCACATTAACACCACTGATTACAAAATTAAAAATAAATATTTGTTTCAAGGAAAATTCCTTGAACACCAAATAGCAGTTGCATAATACCTTAATATAAAATGTTGTATATATCGTCGTTTAAAAGAACATTTCACACTCAATTGCATTCCAATTTTCAACAAACCGTCTTCTTTATAAATCTACTTTTATGTTATTATGTTTTCATACAACCCTCAAAAGGCAATCATGTTGTCATGAAGTTCACGCGCTTTTACATCTTAAGGTGCTATAACAATTTTACGTCCTTTTTATGTTTTGATGAGTAGGTATCTGATTCTAATCTATTAAAAAATTGTTACAAAGTGCATTTGATATATTTACGTGGAAAACTATAGAATTGGAAACAAAAAACAACAGTAGAGGGTTTATTGTGCTGCTGTTGGCTGTTCCGGTTGTTGTTGCGGCGCTAAGCGGTTAACGAAAGCAATGCCACTGTGTATGATCTTACCAACAACAGCAGGTGATGATGCCGCCAAAGCCTCGGCTTTTATACGCAGCTCCGCAAAAGCGTTTCGGGTGTATGGATTACGCCTGGAGCTATAACGCATAACCAAGAAATGATAGTAAACGATCGGAGTCATAAGTCCTGCTTTTCCTCTGAAAATATTGCATAGACAAAAAATGTAAACAATTAACAAAGTTTCATATAAGTTAATAGTAAAAAAAAAATATTTTTTAAACAATCTTTCTAAATATGAACCAAATCAGACAATAAATATGGGGTTTCCAAATATCTCGACTCCTGCGCCAAGTATCGGTAAAATTTTGTATGGACTTATTTCTTTTCATTTAAGTAATATATACAGGGTGTCCTAGACCACTCGAAACCCGAAGTTGGTTATACAATCAAAAGATAGATCATTCTTTAAATTCCTTCGTTAGAAGTCCAGGACGGTTTGAAGTTCGAAGATCATTTACAGGTTGAGAAACGCACCTCATACATATATTTATTACGAGCATGTAGTTCCCATTTAAAAAAAATTTACTTCCCGTCTTTTTAACTCAGTTCCGGTCGAAACCGGAAGTCGGTGATACGACCAAAAGATAGACCATCCCCGACTTGGTAGTTCATATTTTTGCGTTTTCCAATCAAGAACAGTTTCCTCCATTTTCGAAGGGGTGGAGGGGTGACCTAGGACACCCTGTATTATAAATATAAATTAAATCATGTAGGTAATATACATAGTACATACATTCCAAACATGAGCCAAATCAGATCAAGTATCTCGACTCCTGCACCACCTAGCGGATTAAATCATCTTTTATATTGCTCTCATCGGGAAGTTAGTTAAAAATTAATTTCACGATTTGACCCAACCATACATACTTACTCAAATTTTAATATTAACCTTTTTGACCGCTAAATTTCGTGAATAAAAGCTCGATTTATTTTGTAAGTAAAATTTTTTTTTTTATTTTTTTTTATCGATGCATTTCTGTTGGCAACTGAGCAACCATTGACAGTCAGCGTCACGTGAACACTAATTAAGACGACAAAAGCATGGTTGCCGCTTACATATGTTACGAAAAATGTTAACTTTTTTCATTTGGTAACTTGCTAACTTTTAATTACATTTGGTAACTTTCCGATCGTTGCACAGTCTACTTTTTTAGGGGTGTGAGTGATCAATAATCTTTAACTTTTGAACGGGTTTAAAATTTTCTTCGCGTTTTTTTTTGGGTCGTTAAGTAGAGAATTGTCTATCGATAGCCATAACAATAAATTTAAATATGCTCCAATTTAACCTTAAAAAGTTACCCAAATTTAAAAAATAAAACAAAAAATATTGTTTTATCGCTTTTTTTTTTGTATTGGAAGAGACTTGTGTAATTATCAAAAGTGCCGAAAAGTTTAAACTTTTGCTTGGAATTGCTTATTTCGGGTTTCTAAGATAAATTTGAACGATGAAGCTTAATTTCCTTATTTCAATGTATAAAGCCAAGTACGGACCAAGTGCGATTATTTCGTATGTCTGAATACAAGTGTCCAAGGAATTTTGACATATAATATTTTACAGTCTGCTGTCTCACTTTTTCCTTACGAAATAATTTAGCAAGCATATATTTCTGTTGAAAACAAAGGTGCCTTGTACTCTTCACAAATAAACTTTAGAAAACCATAATAGAAAGCGTAGCAAATTTCTTAAGAACTTCGTACTGCTTAAGAAAATTTGGCTCAATACATTTTTCTTTACGATTTCTTGGGCTTTTTTCATTCGTCGAACTAAAGAAATGTTAACGAATACGGGGGTGGTCCCAGAACTACCCGACCTAACAAAGAAACAAACATTTTGGGAAAAAATATATTTATTTTTCAACATAATCTCCTTTCAGCTCTATACACTTTTCCCAGCGATGTTCAATAAGTTCGATACCCTTTTTATAATAAGAACTGTCTGGCTCCTCAAAACAGCCATTAACTGCCGACATCATTTCTTCATCGTTAAAAAATCTTTGACCACGGAGCCATTTTTTTAAGTTGGGGAACAGAAAATAGTCCGAGGGGGTTAAATCTGGCGAATAGGGTACATGAGGTAGCAATTCAAACATTAATTCATTAATTCGCTAAACACTCAATTGAAACCTCTTCACGACACTGTCGAGTGTGTGGTCGAGTGTGAGCAAACGCGTCACCCATCTTGCACACAGCTTTCTCATGCCGTATGATGTACCGAACTTTTCCAAATGCCTACTATATCTGCTACCTCGCGCACTTTCAGTCGACGATCATCTATTACCGCTTTGCGGATTTTCTTCACCATTTCTGTAGTCGTCACCTCATTTGGTCGACCACTGCGATGCTCGTCTTGGCAGCTCGTACGGCCTCGTTTAAACTCTCCTACCAAATATTTTACTGTTGGATACGAAGGAGCAGACTCGCCCAAAGTAGAATCTATTTCAGCTTTTATATTGGATGGGCTGAGGCCTTTCAAATAAAAGTATTGTATCACATAACGATGACGAATTTTCTCCATTTTCACAAATTCACTGAAAACGTTCATTATTGACGGCTGCCAAGCAAATACTAAACAACGTGGCATCTTCAAACTTGAAACATATGCTTTATAGATTGTGTCCTTTTTAATACAGTGATATTTTTCAGACAACTACTGCGATCTCTAGGTTAGGCTGGGTACATCTGGGACCACCTCCGTAATAACATAAAAACACATTTGGTTTTAATAACCCGTAACTTCAATTACATTTCTGCTTGGGTACAAAAATTTAAAACCAATGGTTCATCTCTCCACGTAGGCATTTATTTATCTCACATGGAGAATAACGAATATAAAAAAAAATTAGAACGACCAGCGCATATCTCTATTATTTGAGAATATCAAGCAAGACTTGTATGCCCATTGTAATTTTTCAATCCTTGAATAAACTGAATAAAAAACAAAACATTAGACTGCACTAAATTTTTGTTGTTTTGCGAGCATATTTGCAAGCTTATTTACCAATGTTTTAGTGCTTATCTAAGCGCTTAAAATGGATTTTTTTCTTGCTTATTTTCTTCGGCCCTGATTATCAATAGCAGATAAAAAGCAAGTTTGTAAACTGACCCGTAAAAGAATTTAAAATGATACAATTTTCATTCAAACTTCAAGATCTTCGAAAATTTACTTAGTTTTTTTGCATTGCAAAGTTTTATGTGGCTATCGTTAATTTAATGAAAATTACCGATAAAATTTAAGTTTTTAATTATTTTATAATATTTTATAATATATATATATGACGGTACTACGCATTTTTTTTCATACAAAGTATGTATGTTCGAAAATTTTTTAATGGAGAGCAAATGAGCAGCACGTTGCACTTGCACTTTATTTTACTAATTAACTAAAACCTCCCTATTATAATTGCCATTCGTACTGTCGTCAGGTATGTAACTTGAGAATAGAAATCGCTGCATCTTTTAGGCGCATCAATATTACATAGTTACATCCCGAGCTAATAAAAGGAAGATGTAGAGTCCTAATTTATATTTTGGCACTGTTAATGTTCTTCACTTCGAATCATAGGCATCCAGATTGGAAATTAAAAACTGGTTATGGAGAAAACTGCGATCATATACCAACATCATTTTAAACTGGTTCACAGGCATGCCATTTTAATGAGCTGTTGAGGCGTCGAATGAACGAACACCGAATACGGGACAAACACAGGACATTTATTTATTTTTATTTATTTGTTTATTTAAAATGTTTTGTACAACTAAGACAATTCTGTCTTTTATATGTACATCAACAAAGAATTATAATCTATACTAACATAATTTGCCAAGAATAGATACAAACTAAAATATATGAGTTCTTAATGTAAACTTAATACTAATACAGCAAATGTAAATGATTAAAGAGGAAAAAGGAGATGGATAATGTAAGAGAATAAGTAGAAGAAGAAAGAAAAAGGAAAAAGGTACACACCAAGATTATTTGTAGTCAGAGGACATATCAAGGCCACTTAAAGAATGTACACGAAAAAAACTGGTCGCACATAACCAAGCATAGCTCGGTTAATCATAACATTAAAATAAAAATCGGTAGACACTTAAAAAGCTGGAAGCATTTTCCACCTTACTGCATCATTTCTTTTTAGTAACAAAAATCAGTGTAGAAACGAGGACCAAGAAAGAAATCGATCGCGAGTTAATATTGCGCAAAAAGCTGGAAAATCCCAGCATGTTCCATAACGACATCGCAAAAAAGCTAAAATTTCCAAAGTCTACCGTTACTTATGTGCTTAAAAAATACAATGAATGTTTATCTTTAAAAAGGAACCCTGGTAGTGGCAGAAAAATAGGATTTGCTTGCGAAATTAAGGCAAAGGAAGTGTTATCTGCTTTTAAGAAAATTCCTGGACTTTCGGTAAGAGATGTCGGCAAAAAATTAAACATGTCGTCTTCGTATATACAAAAAGTATGCAAAACAGCAGGACTACGTTCTTACAAAGTGAATGCAGCACCTAATCGCAACGGTAAGCAAAATTTGTTGGCGAAACAACGTGCTCGGAAATTGTACGACAGTCTCATACAAAAATTTGGCTGTATTGTTATGGATGACGAATCGTACGTAAAAGCCGATTTTAAACAAATCCGGGGCCGCGAATTTCACACTGCAAATAAAAGAGGCAATGTTGCAGATAAATATAAAAACGAAAAGTTTGACAAATTTCCCAAAAAGTTTCTCATTTGGCAGGCAATTTGCCAATGCGGCTTCAAAAGTGATCCTTTTGTAAGCACTGGTACAATTAACCAAGAAATTTATGTTAAGGAGTGTCTGCAAAAGCGACTTTTACCTCTTATACGGCTTCATAAAGATCCAGTGCTTTTTTGGCCTGATCTCGCGATATTTCATTACGGAAAAATGGCTTTAGAATGGTAACATAGAAACAAAGTCTATTTTGTAGCAAAAGAGGTGAATCCACCTAATTGTCCAGAGCATCGGCCGATCGAAACCTACTGGGCCGTTATGAAATCCAAACTTCTTAAGACCCACAAAGCTGTAAAAAACGCACAACAATTCAAAAATAAATGGCAGCTGGTTTCCAAGGAAATCACTGAAACTTCTGTGCAAGGGCTAATGAATTCCATTAATATATTTATGTTTTAGAACGTTTTAACTGTGACCAGTTTTTTTCGTGTACATTCTTTAAGTATTGAAATATTAACTTTTTGAAGTTGCTTCTATTCAGTCTAGCTTTAACACTTTCTGGAATCGAGCTTCTTACAGCGCTAATGAAAAACAGTCGACTGGAAGTAAGCGAATTATATTTAGGGACAACCAAGCTGTTATGTCTCTGTGATTTGGTTAGTTGAAGCTTTTCATACAAATATTGCGGGACTTTCCACTCTAACAATTTATACAAAAAAATGCAGTTTCTTGCAGCCAAAAAATTTATAATACTGCAACCAAGAATTTTATCGCGCCATACATTCAACTTGCTGACCGACTTTGAATCAAGTTTGCTATAAACTATTTCGGAATATGTGAAATGGGGCAAAATTAACTGCATAGCAAGTTTGCGTCGTGTTTCCTGAGGCGTAAACGAAGCAGACATTCCTAGCCTACGTAAAGTTACATACACATTACTTACTACTTTATTAACATGATCACAACAGCTTAACTTATTTACAATAAAGCCTAAGTTCCTAATTTTCTCAGTGGTCATGAGGGCGGCTGTACCAATCCACAGAGGTGGGATGTTGGTAGGGTCTATTACACTTTTACGTATAGGCATGACATACGACTTAGCAGCATTTAAACATAAAATATTCCTCTGCGCCCAACACAAGATACCGGACCTTATAACATATATCCTCGACGAGACCTCAGCATACGCATGGACATTTACATATTTGCACACCGAAAATACATCATTTACAAACATACTAAACAATAGAGGACCAAAAGATTGATCCCTGAGGGACACCTGCTTTGATAGCTTTGTACTGTGAAGAAACCTTCTAGATAGACAAAAGTTTTATCGAACTATTAGAGAATGCAAAGTAGTGCCTGAGTTTCCGACATAACAAAGAGTGGTTGACTGAGTCAAATGCCTTAAAAAAGTCTAAGAGGCATAGAATAGTTAGATCTCTTTATTATCGTACGGCATTCTAATGTCATCCAAAATTTTAACCATAGCAGTTGCGCAGCTATGCTTGGGTCTAAACCCAGACTGCAAAGGAGAAAGCAAATTATTTTTTTGAATGTACATGGAGATTTGGTCAGCCATCAAAAACTCACAGGCTTTCGAAAATGCTGGTAAGATACTTATAGGCCTGTAATCACAAGGGTTCGACGCAAGTGGTTTTTTACGAAAAGGCAAAATAATTACTTTTTTCCAAGCATCTGGAAAACGGCCACTAGAGAAGCAATGGTTTATTATATGGGTAAGAGTACTAACAATAAATGGGAGCACGATTTTAACAAAACTTAAATATATTCCATCATCACCAACAGCATTTTACTTAATAGCCATAATTGCCTTTAGTACATCACATTCACTCACGCAGAGAAACGCAAAAGAATCTAAAGTTATACAAGCATCTATATGGGTATCATCAGAGATAGTAGAGTTACTGCAGTTTTCCGAACCAATAAAAAAGTCATTTAACAAATCAGGGTGAATTTTCCACTGCACTTTATTTTTCCCATGTATGTTTAAATGCTTCAAGTAGCTCTCAAATTCTTTAGATGGGAGAGAAGGATTCAGTTTTTGTTTACAATACCACCTTTTAGCTTGTTTAATGATAACGGTGGCTTCATTTCGCGCGGTCTTGTACGCATGCCACGCGGTATCAGTATTCGACCTTCTCCATTTGGCATGCAACTTGTTGCGTTTCTTTGTAGCGAAACTTACTTACTTTACTTTTTTATTCAACCAATGGCAGGATTTATTAATAACGTTTGCAGTACGGACGGGGACATGACGATCAAAAAGGATAGTTAAATTATTATTAAGGCATTCGAGCTTCTTGTCTACCGTTTCATAATACCAAGATTCATTCCACCGAATAGAAGAACAATCAGAGAACAATGCACTATTATCTAACGAACGAAAATCACGATACGAGAAAGCAACACAAATTGCAGAACGTTCAAACACTACATCAACAGTACAGAAAATTAAATCATGGTCAGATATAAAAAATAGTTGGTCAAATTTAAGAATATACAGTATAATTGTTGATGCAGCAATGAAGGTCAGAAATAAGATCACTAAACCATGTCTCGGAAACACAGATAATGTCTATTAAAGACTGCTCAAATATGTATCTAACATAGTCCATTTTATCAGAACTCAGGCTTCGTGCATTAAAATTAACTATGTTAAGACCAGTCGACTGTTTACACAAAATATCTAACATAGGCTTATAATTTCCATCAGCGCCAGATGCTTGATTAACAGCCATGTTAAATTAATTACTTTGCACTGAACTGAATAAGAAACAACTATGTAAACACAAAAGAACTAATATATACACATGTGTGCATATAACTACAAATCATCAGGACAGGAAAAGCAAATAGAAGTGAAAGAATTGAAAGTGAAGAGAACAAGAAGGGAGAAAAGAGAAACTTGGTAAAACTTAAGACTAACAATACATACAAACAATTTATTGCAGGGCATAATTGATTTGACAAACACATGCAACTGACTGCTTTAAGTTATGCCGACAATTTCATCAATACCTTTCTTGTCGTGCACTCGAATCGTCGCATCGCCATCCCTTTATCGTACAAGAACCTGACCGCGTATTGAAAAAGCAGCTGAGAGATGTTTTTGACGTCTGAGTTGGGCGGCATAGTGCATAATTTCACGGTTCGCTCTCGAAAGGCTTTCATGAATGTGGATTAGTGTGACCGTTATTTTTTTTCGTATTTTCATTCGGGAAACCCCTTAGATTGATTCCAAATTACAAAAAAAAAAAATTATAAACAATTTTAGGTCGTTTGCATAATTATTGGGCGTGCCTTGAGCCCACAAAGTTTGCTAAAAATTCTATTTTTCTCACTATGGCTCGCTTTATTTGTTCATAACTTCAGTAATTTTTATTTTAGAGAAAAACCTTATTCACAAATGTTCTAGGGCTATATCTGATGAACAATGTTGCTCTGTATTAATTTTCTTTAACATTAAAATTTAATCCAGAAAAAAACAAATTAAAAAATAACAGCGAAATTTTCACATATCTTCGCACTCTTTGCATACGAACTTATTTTCTTAGTATTTATTGCTTTTGTTCATCTGCGTTATGTTTTTTTTGTTATTTCTCAATCATCATTATTAAAAAAAGTCAAAAACAAAATAGAATAATAATTCGCCGGCTTGTTAATTCGAGTAAATACCAGAGCTCGCAAAATACGCTCAACCAAATTGTTCTATGGTATCTTGTCACTCACAAGACCGAAAAAAACACAACACAGTCGCTCAGTGTCAGACCAAAACACTTATTTTCTTCTTGCTGGTGTTCTCGCTCTCTGGTTGTGTGTTGAACAAAACAGACAAATCGGTCTCTCACTGAGCTGAATACTCAAATTGTTGTGGATTTCTTACCAATTATTTGCAACAGTTTACCGTTAGTTCTTACTGAGTAGCAGAGCAGAATATAATTTTTGTTGTTACTTAATGACGACTACATTTCATTTATTGTCGTGCATTGAAAGTAATTACACATGTCATCAAGAATTTTGCGTGAAAAAATTTATTTGTTAGGCTATTTTTGTCCTTCCTTAATAATAATATAATAATAGATTGGCGCTTACACATATGTTAGTGTTTGGCCGAGCTTCTCCTCCGACTTGTGGCGTGCGCCTTGATGTTGTCACACAAAGCGGAGGGACCTACAGTTTTACGCCGACTCCGAACGGCGATTGTATTTTTATGAGAAGCTGTTTTTCATGGCAGAAATACACTCGGAGGTTTGCCATTGCCTGCCAGAAAAAGGTTTTTTCTTAACAGCGGTCGTCCCTCGGC